CTGTAAAGATTTACAGTTTCAGAAAGCCTATACTTGGTTGTTGTGAGTCAGAACCAACTTAATGGCACACTACCACCACAAATGGCCAATGATCATGAGCATTTTTTTATATGTCTAAATGTCTTATTTAAGCAGCTCTGGTAGCGTAGTGGTTACAAATCGGGCTGTGAACCTCAAGGTCAGCAGTTCGAAACTACCAGCTGTTCCATGAGAGAAAGATGAGGCTTTCTGCTCCTGTAAAGATTTATAGCCTCAGAAAGCCTGTACAGGGTCGCTATGAGTGAGAACCAACTCCACGGCACATAACAACAACAACAAATATCTTATTTAGTGAAGTTTCTATTCATACCCTTTCCTAGTCTGTGAGTTCTTTTTACTTTTGGCGAAGACTTTTGGTGTACATACATGCCTAATTTTTAGGAGGTTTCAGTCATCTATTTTGTCTTCTGCTATTTCTGTGTTTTCATTTATGTTTGATAGTGTATTTATGCCATGTATTAGAGCCTCTAAGTTTGTCCCTAATTTTAAAATGATTTTTATCATTCTAAATTTTACATTTAGGTCTTTAGTCCATGTTGAGTTCATTTCTGAATATAATGTGAGATATGGATCTTGTTTTATTCTTCTGCAAATGAATTTCTAGTTTTTCCAGCACCATTTGTTGAAGAGACTATCTCTTCCTCCATTTAGTGTGTTTTGGCCCTTTGTCAAATAACTGAGTGTAGGTGGATGGATCTTCAAAGTATTATTAAAATGTATTTTTTCTCTAATTCCCTCTTAACACCATCTTTCATGAATTGATACCTGGCTTACTGAATTCCCAGTGTTCTTTTTCTGTTACCTATTTCACTTTTTGACATCTTCAGAGAAAGATTTCTCTGACAAAGGACTATGCTTAGTTCATGTTTTCTGCCTGTCTCCGTGGGAGGGTGGAACTTAAACAATGAAATGTGTCACTCAAAATGAAAGCAGATGTCAGAGAGTCACCTGGAGGTCATGGTGATCCCCTGTGGGCA